ATTTTTATTAGAAAAAAGTTAGCAATGTTTGAGAAAGTTTCCTCAAAGAGAAACAAAAGAACAAGTAAGGAAAGAGTAAATGAAACTTGGTGAAATGCTATGTGTATTCTAGAAGATCTCAGGTCGGCCATTCTCACTAATTTGCCAACCCTGGGTTTTGAGGTTTTGTGAAACAGAAAAACTCCTCTGAAGAGTTATATTATGATAAACTTCTAACTAGACTTAGACAAGTAGACAGGTAACAGTAGTAATTAATTGTCCATCCATCTAATGCTCAGTTGTGCTCAGCTCTAATACCCTAAAAATACAGGGGATGGTTCATCAATGAGTTAATAGATAAACAAATCATAATACTAACATATTCTCACATTGGAATATTACTCAGCAATACAAAAGAATAAACCACTGATACATCTTACAGCACAGAAGAATCTTAACATAATTATTCTAAGTGAAAGAGGGCAGACAAAATGAGTGCCTGTCATTTATGTAACATTCTAGGGAATTTAAACTACTAATAATAAACTCACATAGTGTCAAAAAGCAGATTAGTTGTTACATTGGGGTAGGTGGGAAGGCAGGAATTACAAACAGGCGTGAGGGAACTTTTGGGGGTGTTGAATATATTCGTTATCTTGATTGGGGTGATGGTTTTGCAGTTGTGTACTTAAGGAAACATTTAAATTATATGGTTAAATATGAGCAGTTTTTTATATATCAATTTATCCCAGTAAAGCTGTTAAATATAAATGGACCAATTAGAGTAGATACAGCAACCAATCAGAATGGGCCCCAGGCATTAACAAGAAAATTCAAAGAATAGGTTTTGGAATGATCTGGGCAGTTGGGACCATGTATAGTTGAATGTTAGAATTCAGGGATTCAGATTGTCCTATTTAACCCCCTAACTGATGTTTATGACCCCTGGCTTAACTCAAAATCATTTTCCAATTTTCTTGTTATAAAAAGATACAGTCCTGAATTAGGTGAGCATCACGAGTGCTGGATTCTATGTCTGGCGGTTCTGGAGAGTAGGAGACAAAGGACAAGTGACTAAACCCGTGTCAGAATCCCACCAGACAATTGTTCCAGGCAGGGGTGAACTGAAACTTTCTTTCTAGAGAAAATAGCGTCCGTCTACCGAGTATTTCAATTTTACAATTATGTGTTTGTCCTGACATCGCCAGATATTTCCTCTTCCCTTTCTTTACTACCATGTGTGATAAAAACAGAGTGGGGAGGTTCACGGGGGGACCTGGTTAGGCAAATAAAAGAAATCCCCTGAAGGTGTTTGCCTCAGAGACATATCACTGTGTGACCTGATGAACTTCAGTTTGTTTTAGCAAAAGTTTATCAAAACCTACAAAAAACATCCAGGCGTTGTGGCGGGAACCTGTAGTCCCAGCTACTTGGGAAGCTGAGGCCAGAGAATTGCTTAAGCTCAAGAGTCTCAGGTTGCTGTGAGCTGTGACACCACAGCACTCTACTGAGGGCGACATAGTGAGACTCTATCTCAAAAAAGGAAAAAAAAATCTACAAAAAAGTACAGAAATACCATGGTGAGACCCTATTCTGAAACAGAGGATGGCCAACTGGCCAAAATGGCTTGTGTAAGTTCAGAAGAAAGGATTGCAATAGCTCTGGGTCATTATTTTTATTATTCTAGTTTCTATTACAGTGAATGTATTTATTTACTCACACTTAAATTTTTAGAAGCATAACCTGAGTTATATTAGTCCTCATCTTAGGAAGGGGGAAATAATTTTTAAGATCCTTAGGGACTAAAGTAAAAGTCAATAAAAATATGGGGAAAAAGACTAGAAGCAAATTGAATGTATGTGCAAACTGACATTTCACTGAAAGAATATGCTTGGAATTTTGGGCTTATCAAACATAGGTCAGTAAAATTGAGACCAAACTCTATTCAGCAAGTGGAATGTATTTGAGAATGCAGAAATACATGTATTTACATTACCTGAAAAGCAAACTTTTTCCATCTTTTTGCATCATTATTTAAATTTATTTTTCTGATTTTAGAGTTATAATATTAAAAATGTATTAATGAAAACATTTCCATTTAGACAGACTCATTTTTGTTTTTTAAAATGTTCATTTTTTTTAACAGGGTCAATCCTCATACTTTGTGATTAAATTTCTAATATAAGATTGCAATAAAAATATGTACTATTGACCTTGGATCAACTTACAATGATATCTAGCTAACTCCTGCATTTGAAATCTTACACAGTTATTTTGTTCTGGAAGTTATTTTCTTTGTCTTTCTTTCTCTTTTTTCGAGACAGAGTTTTACTCTGTTGCCCAGGCTAGTGGGCTGAAGTGTCACATGGCATCAGCCGAGCTCATAGCAACCTCAAACCCCTGGGTTCAAGCAATCCTCCTGCCTCAGCCTCCTGATTAGCTGGGACTACAGGCACCCGTCCCAAAGCCTGGTTAGTTTATATTTTTCTCATTTTAGTAGAGCTCAGGCTAGTCTTGCTCAAGCAATCCTTCCACTTTGGCCTCCCAGATGAAAGTTTTTTTTAATGGAAATAAGAAAAGAGAGGCTCAACTTCTTTTCCTTTTTCTTTGTACTTTGCTCAGCAGCCAGGCACAGTGGCTCATGCCTGTACTTCCAGCACTTTTGAAGGCACAGGTGGGAAGATCACTTGAAGCCAGGAGTTTAAGGCCAGCCTGGACAACATAGTGAGATGCCATCTCCACAAAAAATTAAAAATAAAAAACTGGGCATGATGGTGCGCTCCTGGAGTTGCAGCTACTCACCTGGGAGGCTGGGGCAGGAGAATCACTGGAGCCTGAAGTTGCAGGTTGCGATGAGTTGTGATTGTGCCATAGCACTCCAACAAAAGTAAAAAATTAGTCATGACCAACATGTTGTCTTCTGAACCTGAAAATGGAATTGTTTCAGACAATCCCCTCACTATTTCTTGATTGTGCTTAGAGTTTAAGAACTATTCTGATATATTATCCTTCTTTGTACAGTATTTAAGAGAGTGGTTCTTTTACAAAATCTGAATCATAATGCACTCATTTATGAGATGTTTTCTTTTGCAATCTCTTTGTTTACGATTTTAGCTTTAACCAGGACCAGTATAATGACAAAGGAATTCCAAATTTATATATTTTTAAAATTTTATTTATGTATTTAATGTAGAGATAAAGTTTCATTATGTTGCCCAGGACTTGAACTCCTGGACTCAAACAATCCTTCAGCTTTAGTCTCCCAAACAGCTGCAACTGTAAGCACATGGCACTGTGCCCAGCCAGAATTCAAAAAAAATTTGTAAGAGCTCCCACAACTGCTACCCCTCCCTGATTCCTGATGCTCCCTATAATCTAAAGAGATAAGTGGATCTCTTTCCCCTTCAGAATATGTGAGAAGGGATCCAAAATCAAGCTTTTGGGAAGCCAGTACCTAGATGGCAGAACTAGTACGTAGCTTCCTGGAACTGGAGACTGTTTTGCCAGAAAAACTCACAAGGGCCTTTTGTTATCAAGATGAAGATTTCTGTAAAAGCTGACCTTTCTACCACAACAAATAAGTGAGGTGATGGTTATGTTGACCAGTGTGATGTAAGCTTTCCACACTGTATATCAAATCAGCACATTGTACCCCCATAATGTATTAATGTACACAGTTATGATTTAATAATAATAATAAAAAAGCTGACCTCTCTTTGTGGAATCTTCTCTTTCTTATCTCTTCAGCTATGACTTCCTATTGTTGTGACACTTAGTCAACTTCTCACCCCTTCCCTATTCCTATCTGAGGGGAAAGGCTATAAATTGGCATCATATTTATGACACTTCCTGGCCACATTCCAGGTGTCTAAGTTTATTATCTCAGTCCATATAGGCAAAAAATCTGCCCTACACATCTCATTGGATTTTCCTTGGGACCCACCGTAATAATCTATGTGAAATCCATGAACTGTAATAAAAATGGAAGATGGTTGGTTTCACTGGAAACAATAGAAGACCAGAAATTGATCTGTTATCACAGTATCAGTCTGATACACAGTGGCTGATCCAGGCTGTTCGTGGTTTCAGGGCCTGACAAACCACCTTGTGCAGATGCATTTTTTTGGCTCACGGGGAATGGGGTCGTTAGACAGAGTGGACGACTTGCACCTTGTGATATTTCCCCATGTTAATCTGGAGAAAATGTTAAGATAGTTGTCGGCATTGAAACACCTGGATGTGGAGAGTCTTATAAGAAAAAGAAGTTGTCTTCTCAGAAGAAACGTGAAAAATATATCTACAGTCAAGCCCTTTAGAATTCAGTGGTTCTCAACCTTCCTAATGCCGTGATGTATTTTCATAGTTACAAAAGGGTCGCGACCCACAGGTTGAGAACCGCTCCAGTTGAGAACCGCTGCTTTAGATGACGTCTTTAACAGGTTCTGTCTTCTATTAAATTTCCCTACCCACTCTTCCCAAAACATAAAGCCTTTCCTTTTTCTCTCATTGATCCATTAACATAAAGTGACTTTCTACTTCATACTATGCCTAATTACAATTAGAATGGATTTATTAATTAATGGCTATTATAATCATTATTAATTACTCTTAACTATACAGCATTTCATATAATCCGCTCCATAACTCTTCATCTTTAGAAAGAGAATTCAGAGTTACCCCCGAGGACAATGAGACTGACAAAATCGGTTATGGGCTGTAATGAGAAATAAAAGGAGACCTAAACACCCGGCGAAGCTTCATGTTTATTTAACTTATAGGAGGTTAACTTTTTCAAAATTGCAAAACAATCTCCAAATTCCATTTTGTGCATTTCTGTTATTCATCAACTAGCCACATTTTTATCTATGTCGGTTTGTGATATAGACAAAGAATAGTTTTATCCACTTTCATTAACATTTTCACAAAAAAATTAAAAGAGAGGAGTTTTTCAAACCTAAAAAATATTTGAGAGAAGTCAATATTGATTGAAAATAAAACATTATTGAGGGACCCAAGCGGAAGTCACGGACTGCGGGAAGGTAGAATCGGGCTATTGGCTGAAGGTTTTTTCCCTGGTGATTCAGGGAGAAATTTACATTTTGACTTTTTTTTTCTTTTAAACCATGGCTTTTGTTCACAAATTGCTGACTAGCACTTATATTCTCAGAAAATGCCCAAAGCCAAGTATTGGCTTGCATCCTTTGGCGGGTATTCACTTTGCAGACTATTCTTCCAATAGTCCCCAGAAACCAGTGGCGGCTCCTGGCAAAGCCTTCTCACAGAGGAAGACTCAAGGAGGGTTGCAGGAACATCACCAGCAAGAAGTTGCCTTGGATACAATTTCTCCTGAGGAGAAGCCAGAAGTTAGTTTTGATAAAGCAATTAGAGATGAAATAAAGGACCATTTTTGGCGGTTGAAGGATGAACTTGTGAATCATTGGATAGGGCCAGAAGGCCGTCCTCTGCATGAGGTCTTGTTGGAACAAGCCAAGGTCGTCTGGCAGTTTCGTGGGAAAGAAGATTTAGATAAGTGGATAGTGACTTCTGATAAGACAATTGGAGGCAGAAGTGAAGTATTCTTAAAAATGGGCAAGAATAACCAAAGTGCACTGCTCTATGGAACTCTGAGTTCTGAGGGACCTTATGATGGAGATAGTCGCCAAAGTGGATACTGTGCAATGATATCCAGGGTACCAAGGGGCGCTTTTGAGAGGAGGAAGTCTTATGATTGGTCCCAGTTTAACACTCTGTATCTCCGGGTCCGTGGGGATGGTCGACCGTGGATGGTGAATATCAAGGAGGACTCAGATTTTATCCAGAGGAAGAATCAGATGTACAGTTACTTCATGTTCACCCGTGGTGGGCCCTACTGGCAGGAGGTCAAGATTCCTTTTTCCAAATTTTTCTTCTCGAATCAAGGGAGAGTCCGGGATGTTCAGTCTCAGCTTCTGCTTGACAAGATCTCTTTTATAGGATTTACCTTGGCTGATAAAGTGGATGGTCCATTCTTCCTGGAAATTGATTTTATTGGAGTGTTTACTGATCCAGCCCACACAGAAGAATTTGCCTATGAAAATTCTCCAGAGATTAGCCCAAGACTTTTCAATTAAATAGTAGTTCTGTATTATTAAACTAACAGTAATAGCATCCTTGTGATACGGACAAAATAATATATTTCTTTAATGGCATCCAAAAAAAAAAAAGAAAATAAAACATTATTTCAATGTATGTCTCAAGAAACTTATTGGAATATTTTAGAATTCACCACATTCCGTGTATTTACTTTACCTAAAAATCCTTTATTATACACATGATTTATCTGTAACTACAGGTAAATAAGGTATAATTCCCCCCCCCCCAGGTTATAAGGGGGTCAGTTATAAGCCACCCGACTTAATGGTGTTCTTTACTTACAAATGGGCTCCCGAAGTTCCCCATGAGGATAATGTTTTGAAGTATTTTAGCACAATTTTTTTTTGTTTTTTCTTACTTAAATTTTGTTTCTTTTCCTTTTTTAAGGGGATACAAGTGTTTTTATTACATGAGCATCTTGTATAATTCTTAAGTCAGGGCTCTGGTGTGCCCATCACCAGAATAGTGTTCATTATACCCAACAGGTAAATTTTAGTCCCAGTCCTCCTTTCCACCCCACCCCTCCGTGGCTTCTCACATCTACTACGCCAGTTTGTGGCCATGCGTGTCTATCTATTAGTTCCCACTTGTTAGTGAGAACATGTGGTGTTGGGTTTTCCATTCCTGAAATGCTTCACTGAGGATAATGATGTCCAGTTCTCTCCCTGTTGCCTAAATAACATTATTTGATTCCTTTTAATGGCTGACTAGTACTCCATGGGATACACAAAGGGAGCCCCCCAAAATGTATAAGCACTTTAAGAAATGAAAAAGCTATATTAAAATTGGAATGCTCAATATAGCTGATAGCAAAAGATGAATACAAGTCATGCTGAATGCAATTACCAGAGGTGCTGCAAATGTCATGCTGCACATTGCTACCATCGCTCAATTCAACTTTGAAAAGTAATACATACATAGCATCTCTTCAAATGTGCATTCAGTTTTTGGCCCCTCCCCCACATTGCCTTTATCCACTCATGAATTGACAGACACCTAGGTTGATTTCATACCTTTGCAATTGTGAGCTGTGCTGTGCCATATATAACCTATTATTAAGTAAATAAATTAACATTTTAGAAGGAATGTTTTCCAGGCATGTAACAAACCTTCACCGTGTAAGTGGTTCATTGGTCCAGCATCTTTATGCTAACTCTATTCTCGTAGATAAATAAGGAAACAGCTGGTCAAAACTTAAGGACACAAAGAATCCAAAGATCCAGAACCAAGAAGGTTTATGACAGAAGAATTAGCTGAAGGGTTTCATCTCATCGAAGCAGGATTTGCTAAGCTTGAAAAGCAAGATCCTAACACTGAGGGGTTTACGGCGCAGTTAGTGAGAACATCAGCTGCTACAAGGCCATTTATGATGAAGGAAAGTAAAAGGTTAGATGCCTTTAGATACCTTTCTCAAGGAACCAACTTCAGTGGTGAGCTCTCCTCCCTTAGCTACACAATCAAATCCTGATTCTCCAGCACCCACTCCATCCTCTCCTGCACCATCTCCATCATCTTCTGATTAATGGCAGCCTCCCTCTTGCCCCTTCAATAAGCAAGACATCGATGCAACATTAGGTGAGTGTTAACCTTTAATATTCTTTTTTATAATTTCTCCTATCTAAACTTTATGTATGAGTCAGTTTTGTTGGAATTAAAAGAAAGAGCACAATAGTTTTTGTAACTTATCATTATAGTACAGGGGATATTATTATTATCATAACAGTATTACACGGTATTATTATATCACACACGAGTCATTATTGTACTGTAGTTGTTAATAGTATTATTTTTACTGTATATGTGCTGTTCATGAGGGATCCGAGTCACATACAAATCTGACCTAAAAACGTTCTTAGGAACGTGCTCCGTTCATAACCTGGGTACTGCCTGTAATTATTTTTACAGGCTATTTACTGTTCTATCCCCAAAATGACAATCATGCTAACACTTTTCTAATGCAAGGCAAGCAGTAAGAATAAATTGTAGAGGATTATATTCCAAAGTAAGTGACATTACACTATGGGAAAGACCAATGTAGCCTAAGCAAATATCATAAGCAGAGATAGACGGTTCCATATGGAATAAAAGCAAAGTTCTATGCCTTCAGATCTCCTAGAAGGAAGTTGAGTTAGAGGAGCTAAAAAGGTCATAAATTTTATCTTTTTTCCAGGTAGCTTACTCAGTTTTTCCTTTCTGCTGGCCATTTGTGGCTCAATACCATAATCTTTCATGTGACATAGCTGAACTATTTTACCTCAATTCTTGAGACCACTGATCTCAAGAAAGGTGCTGTGTGACATCTTTTAAGATGCCATTGTACAACAACTAGCAAGTATGTATCTGATTAAATGTTCCTAACACAAAATAATAAAAAATACCTGAGGTGATGAACGCCCAATTACCCTGACTTGATTAATTCACATTGTATACTTGTATCAAAACGTCACACATACCCTACAGAAATACATAACTATGGCATACCCATAAAAATTAAAAAGCTGGGTACAGTGGCTCAGCCTATAATCCTAGCGCCCTGGGAGGCCAAGATGGGTGGATCACCTGAGCTCAGGAGTTCGAGACCAGCCTGAGTAACAGTGAGACTCCGTCTCTACTAAAAATAGAAAAACTAGCTGGGTGCTGTGGCGGGTGCCTGTAGTCCCCGCTACTTGGAGGTTGAAGCTAGAGAGGGATCACTTGATCCCAAGAGTGTGAGGTTGCTATGAGCTATGATGCCACGGCATAGATTAGAGTCTTAATACCCAGGGTGAGTAAGACTCTGTCTAAAAATAGATGGATAGATAAATAGATAGATAATATATGGTTAGATAAATAAATTTTAAAAATGGCCTGGATAAGAAATGGGATATTCTGCAGAATCCTACAAATCCTGCTGCCCTCACTCCCCAATCTGCTGTGCCCTGCTTCTGTCACTTGTCTTGTCAATTTCGGCAGATCCTGAGCCTTGGCGCTTTTTCTTACCTCCCAATCTAGTGTTTCCCACGTGACTCCTGGTGATTTGACTTAGCTACTCCATGACCCGCCTGATGGAAGGCCTCTTCCTTCTCTCTGGTACTCTGGTACTCTCCCACCTACTCCATGACC